AACATTAACTGAGACTCAGAAATCATCAGAAACAAGAATGAAGACAGAAGAAACCATCTGTCTATGACTATATCTTTTTTTTGTTTGTTTGCTTGTTTGTTTAACACACTTGTTTAATATGAATAAAACCAGACACAGTTTTCTAAAAAATCTTAATCATTACCAAAAAAAACTGCTTATGTAAGATGATCCAGGTTTGACTTGGTGTCGACCACTGGAAACTGTGAAGGGCATTAAAAAAACAGAGTGTATACAGTAACTGCCAAAACAACATTAAAAAAATATCGCAGCTGTCAATCTCAATAGTCATCTTCCTGCTCAGCTATACTCTCTGCTTGTTTTGTTTTTTTTTGGGGGGGGGGGTCCTGGTTCTCTACACCTACATCCATCAATGTACCTGCCATCACTGACAGGATGCAGTATGCTAAGAGACTTCTCACTACATCTGGCCCGTCTTCCTCTGCTTAATTAATTCAGATGGCGTCACTGATAAAGTATCCGAGTCTGCAGCATCACTTTCTTTATCTGTACCAACTGCTCCACTCCTTGTCTCCATATCTTAAGGAATTTAATCACAGTTTACGATAGAATGTGAATTTAAATGATGCTTTGAAATCTGATATGGTTAATGTAATAAGGTTTAATCCTCTTTGGACAACAAACATGCACATTTGCAACATATTTTTGGGACAATCCATCTGATGGGTTGAAATATCTCAGTATGGATAAAAGGAAGCCAACTGATGGTGACCTCCAGAGATTACCAGCCTCCACGTTAGCGATGCAGAAGAAGACTGACTTTGAAAAGTTACAATGTGACGTGTTTGCATTTAGTATGGGGTCATGCTTTTAATGTTAATACAATCAAAACATTTGCATTATTGAGACTTCAGTGAAGGTGTGTAACTATTTTCTTCTTCGCTAACTCACAGGTAACACTGCAATACAGAGAATATTTGAACTAGTGATTATTGCATACAGTTACACTTAAATTGAGTCTCTGCTCCAAACAACTAGTAAAAAAAAGTTCCTTATGCTTGCAGGCATGGAAAAGACCCAGAGAAGCACGGTACATGAACCAGCAAATGGTGTGGCAAATTAAATTCTTGTGCAAACAACATCAACACAGACAACACCCACAGGGCTAATAGAAACGAGCAGTTCCCACAGTTAGTGTGAAGACATATGATGCACAGCTGAAGACTGAGGCAACCCTAATTCTTAGACTCACTGTGCATGTAGCTGTCACAGATTAACATGAAGGACATACATCACAGCGAAGGCAATGACAAACAGGCATCCATGCAGAAAGAGAACAAGGAGAATTAAGGGAGCCATTGTTTGTGTATTAACAGACAAGCAGAATATTTACAGCAGTGATTTGGAAATAGTTTTATCAATTAATTTATATTATTTTTTCAAATGAATTTATTTCAACTATTTGACGGGTTAGGCTCAATCACTCAACATGATCTTCACTTAGTTTTATATTTGTGAAAGACATTTTCAGATGATTATTGTAAATATTTCCCATTTTTCCTTCAATCATCACAGATTATGACCCTAAACCCAACACTAATGCTATACAGAAGACACAAAAATGCCCATTCTGACATGCTTCAAAAGCTATATGTTTGGTACTTTTTGATGTTCTCTAAAGTTAGTGTTGGGGTTACCACTGACAGCTTAAACACATTTTGCCTTTTTAAGTTTGTTGCAAACTGATTTTGCATTACTCTGTTAAATCCTTCACCAATTTCTGGTTGAAGTGTAGAAGATTTTAGCCTAAACACTGAACCTCAGAGATGGTTTTATTAATTTCATCAGCACATATAAACTACTAGGTACAAATCTTTATAGGTTATGAGATCCTAATAACTAATTTTGAGATCTGTGTTTATATCACAAACTAACACAAAGAAAACTATCTGTCCTTTTAGCAGTACAGCTGAATCAATGTGTCCTCTGGTGCCTGCAGTAAATAATGCAGAGGGTAGTCAGGATTATCCATGATGGATTACAGTTTGTTCAGTGACCTTTCTTCCACAGCTGTAAAAATGTCCAATTTTCAGCCAGTCACAGAAACAGCCTTCCAAATACGCTTATTCAGCCTGGTGGTGTTAATCGCTCTGATGTCTGTGTAGGTTCTCAGTCATCCAGGAAAAAAGAAGGCAACTGGACTTCTTTAAGTTTGTGAATACATTTCACTTGGCATCCAAGAGGCTTCTCCAGAGTCCCAGGTATTAGACACCTGGAACTACTCACCAACTTAAAGAAGTCCGGTCGCTTTCTTTTTTCAGATTTCAAGCTGCTAGCTAAAATGCTGCTCTCCCTGCAGACCACAGCTAAGTGCACTACTTCATTTTGCTGCACACATTGAAGGATCAGCTTCCTTAGAAAACAGAGCTCTTGCTCTTGTTCTTGCACTTTTATGCTACAGCCTACTGTTGAAATGGACAGCCAGGTACACGTACCCCTCCACCACATAAACATCCCATCCTAGGACAGACACAGACTGTAGCTGTTAGTATTATTTTGTATGATGGATTATGCAGAAAAAGTAGAATTGGGCTATATCACCTATTCAGGTTGTAAATTGTGTTTTTAAAAAGTAACTAAGTAACTAAGTAATTAATTACTTTTGAAAATAAGTAATCAGTAAAGTAACAGGATTACGTTTTGGGGGAAGTAATTAGTAATTAGTTACTGATTACTTTTTTCAAGTAACTTGACCAACACTGGTCACCATATTACATGCAATGAAATAAAAGTAAAAGAAACATTGGCAAATCAGCGTTCCTTCTCTTGATGTACATTTTTCATAACATTCACATGTTTATTGTTTGTTTTTTATTTGGGCTTTTCCATAAAGAGTTTTCGGCGCTACAGTTAGCCGGCGCTGAGCGTGAAAGCCTGTAATCCTCGAGGTTTAATGAAGTGCCTCAGCAGTTTGTAATGGAGACAGTTGCCTACAATCTTGTCATTAACACCATGCTGCAGACTGGAGCTCTGTGCTGCTCTTTATTTTTCTTACCAAACTACCATTTTCAGCTTTCTAATGTGAAAATCAGTCAAAGTCAGGCTTTAAAATATTGAATGTTACTGTTACTAGTTATTGATATTCACTGACCAATCACAATATTTACCTGATTGTTGTTGTTTTTTTATTACATGAAGATCTTGAATGACCATTTGTCATCTGTTTCTGTGCTAAGTATAGTACGATTGTATGTGGCAGGTAATGGAGTATTTTGCTTTACAGTCCACTGATTCGTGCTCTTACGTTTTAAAGTTATATGGATTTTACATATGAGTAATAATGTCACACTGATGATGTAGCTAATGCTACTAGCTGGTAAAAACACTGTGCAAGGCAGACTTAATCTCATTATTGTTGGAATGATTGAGGCATTTTCTATCTTTGCATATATATCTTGCCCTTATGTCTGATTAAAATGATGTATTTTCATAAATACAGCAGTATGTGGTAAGCAAGATAATGCAGAAGTTATATTTAACTGCACCAAGATGGCGCCGCGTATGGATGCCCTGGTGCTTCAGTGCGTTACTTTTGTTTTTATGTTTGCACTGAAGCACCGCAGCAATTTCCTAATGTTGTAAACCTGCTCAACATTTGGCAATAAACTGAAACTGATTCTGATTCTAAGTTTAAATTAGCAGAAATTCCATTATTTTAAATAATGGAAATCCCTATGGCCCAGAAGCTTACTTTTCTCCACTCTTAGATCCTTATGGTGTCAAAAAGCCAAGAGCTATTTAATATGGGCATAAGGCAGAATGCTAAAAAAGAATGAAGCTGGAAATAAGCAACAAAATCCTAGTTTAATCCATAGAGCAAAGCACTTTAAACCAGGAGAGGAGGGAAATAGAAAGATTACACCTGAAGGGAATAATAATACTCTAAATCCTAAAGTGTGAAATTTATCTTCAGCTTTTTCCTCCAAGTTATAGTCCTGTGGTTTGTGTTTGTATTATGTGAAGTTAAACTCATTTTGAAAATAAATAAATAAACTACATCAAAATAAATTATTAGAAAATGTTTAAACAACAAACCAGAAGCACTCTGAGAGCATAAACCTCCTCCAAAGTTCACTCTCTAGGTAGTATTTAATTTTAAGGAAAAATTATTAGAATTTGACCTCCTTCAAGGTCATAAATACAGAAGTCAAATGTGAGATGATATCTTAAATATCTATGCTGTATTTTCTATATGTTGACAATACACAACACACAAAATGCTTGAACTAGAGGGACTCCAAACCTCTGATTGGTAGTGTAAATAAAACCATTAATATTTAAAACAGAACTGAGCACACAACCTAGTTTCAGACATAACCGGAGCCGTTACAACAGTTCACCGGCTCAGCAGCAATATGAAGACACAATTTATGACTGTCATCCAGAATTCAGGTCATGATTTCCCATTTTTCTCTGTCTGCTCTTTCTTGCTTCGAGGTATCAGTTATGCTCTGGCACATATGATGTGGCTTCAGAGGCTTTTAAAAGAAAACTCACAGCTGCAGTTTGACCCGAGCCTCCCCGACCGGCAGCGAAGGCGTAAAGTTAAAGACAAGCGAAGAAAACGATGTTGGCAGCTTTAATGGACGGTTGTTGAAAAGTCAAACCTGATCGGTGGTTCAAATTTCTCAGCTTTCAAGCTCAAGTCTTTGAAATGTTTGTACTCATGTTACCCGCTCTCTTGTCGGCTTTGCAGCCCCGGGCTATATAGTAAAGAGAGGCTTATGATACACTCGTGATTCGATTGAGGTCGTAGATAAGGGGCCGCTCTTGTGCTCTACATATAAATCACATAATGTATAGATGACCTTGTGGTGTCTCATCTCAAATCTGGGTCATTTCCACACAACTGTCTTGACAGTCACATCTCATGACAGAATTAGTGTTCTGTTTTTCCCGAAAGGCTCATTTTCTCACTTTGGAACAAACGCTCTCATAACATTTATATTGCAGATTCGCACCTGTCTGATGGCGTGCAGCAGCTTGCCGTAGGAGTAGAGGATGACGCCGAACGGCAGAACGAGGCAGAAGGTGAACAGGCAGATGATGTAGGAGATATTGTTTGGCGTACGTGTCCTCCAGTCAACCGAGCAGGTGGTGCCGGGACCCTCGGGACCATATCTGCTCCAGCCCAGCAGCGGAGGCACGGTCCAGGCCACGGAGTAAAGCCAGGAGAAGCAGATCCCTGCCAGGGTTGGGCGGAAGTCTCTACCGTCTGCAATAGTCTGCGCCATCATGGTGCAGTAGCGCTCGTAGGACAAAACAGCCAATGAGATGAGGGAAACAATACCTGAGGAGGGAGAAGTTCAGAACAAGTGGTCAGACCCAGATATCAAGCAAATATTTGGGCTTTTGGGAGTCAGTGAGCAGAGGAGAATGAAAAAGCTTTCCTCAGAACTGGAGCAACTGCGTTCTGTTTCCCTCAGAGTTATTGATTGATACATTTAGATACGAAGTCATGTCAATTTTCCGCTCGCTTTGATCATCTTAATAGCGTTTAACTTTGCATTGCTGGGGCACAAACAGAGGAGAATGAACTTCATTAGCTGGCATTTGCTTTGAAAGCTTTACAGTAACTGTGATGGCAAAGGCCTGCTAGATTAATTTCAATTTGTACATCTTGGAGCGCACTAAGGTTTGAGCTTTTTGTTCATCCACACGTGTTTACTTCAGGCATTATCATATGTCAACCGAATCAGAATGTTTTTGTCTCTTTGCTTATGTACTTCTTTCCACTACAGGGCCTTCAGCCTGCTTCACTCTGGGTGTAGTGGGAGGATCACACATACAACGCATTCACTGTTATTTGACTTTCTACATTCATTCATATTTATGAATTCCCATGCCTCGTAATCCCAGGTTTAACCCTCAAACAAGCCTTTGAAATGGTATGAAAGGTAAAGATAGGTGGCCATGTTTAAATTAAACTGATTGTTTCTGCCTTTGTTTTCCTGTGAGAAAATCTTGTTTCAATGACTGCTTCTTGATAAAGCGGCAACCTATAATCTATCCATTCTGCACAGCCATGTTTTGAGCAGGTGCAATCAGACATACCCCCGTTCAGTGAGTGCTTCTGTATCACTTTTAGCATTTGGCAATCATTTGTAGCTACAAAAACACGGGTTACAAAGAATCCAAATAGCAGTATTCAACACATGCTCACATTTCTTTTGGTTAACTAGAGTTTGCATACTGTTTTTTTCCCTCTTTTTCAGTTCAATGTTTTGATTTTGTGCTACTGGCAGTAAGTAAAAAACTACTGAACACTGACTATTCGAACTGCAGGTAGTCATTTCCATTCAAGCTCAATCAGAAGATTAGTTTCATGATAACCAGAAAACACTAAAAGACTAAAAGGACTTTTGAAGAACTTTTTCTTCACAGAGGAGAATGTCGTAGTTAATTGACAAACAACACTGGAAACACGCATTGCATCACAATTTAACGAAACCTCAAAAGATCTTTAAATGCTTCTTTTTTCTGACCAACACAATAAAATCAAATCATAGTCAATATATTCTTTGGTTAAGAAAAGAAAGCAAATTAGCCTAAACAATTGATAGATTATTTATTGACAGTTTTAATCATTGTCAACCGAGTAGCTCTAATTCATTTGGGAAACTTTCAGTTAACTGAAAATGGAGTTTATTCAACAGCAGAAGTTGTGTCGTGGACTGATACAAACCCTGAGTCGTTGTATCCTCTAGTAGTTTAAAATATCATCACAACCTGTTCACACCAAAAAATGAAAAAAAGAAACACCACTTACAGAAACACTGATTTGCAGACAGCACAGCCATGTGCTGTCTTTCCTCTGTGTTAACTGCAGATTGATGAAAGAAAATTGTTGCTGAAGTGAGTTAAGTCTTAAATCAGAGCTAATCAACACATACAGGCGAAAGTACTGGTGCAGAGGCACTTTACCTCCATTATGCTGAGTCTGCTTGGGAAAGAGACTTTGATTACAGGCAATCAGAGTGCCTTAATGCATAATGAAGCCTTCTGATTGGCTGAAACCATGCCATGTTGGCGTGGACAGCACACCGGGGCTGGGCGCATGATGTGTTGAGAG